CAAGCTAAGGAAGAGTGGAAATACTACTGAGTTAGCAATGCAAATAAAAAAGCTTTATACTGGACTTAAGCCAGAAAGGCAGTCTTAGCAACTAAGCTAGTGCTCATCCTAGTTTTTAGTCCTACAATTTATATCTTTGATCTAAATAAGTTATAATAATAAAAAGATCAATATTTCATTTTTCAAAATTTATAAATTCTTTTATATTTTATTTACGTCAAATACTTTAATTTACACCTAACTTGGGAAATAAAGGACAATAACTTTATGAACCATTCAATAATGATTAATGTATTTTAGAAGCCAATTTCTCGCCCCACCTCTCTATGTAAATCGTAATAAAAGTTGAGTTAAAACGCTTTTTAACAAAGTGATTAACAATTAAAATATTTAAGAAAATCATTTTTTTTTGATCGCTACTAAGCATACAGTGCAAAAAGAGAAAAATGTAAGCATACCACTTTTCTTCTTCTTTCAATATTTATAGAGTTAATCGATTTGGCAAGTGAGAGAATCACATCCAAATTTTGTATAGGAATGAATTGCTTAGTTTACCTCGCTGTAGCGTAATAATTCCAATTAAGTTACCATGCAACTCTTTGAAACATATCAAAAGGCCACTGCGACGTGACCAAATAAAAACTAAGACGTTAGGCTAGCAGCAGATTCAAATGCAAAGTAAGCACTGATTTCCCATGAAGTTTAGCAACAATGCAAACAAATTGTTCAGTTCATTACTAAGCTTTTTCCAAAGGCCTGCGAAGAGTTGCTGATTAGAGTCAGAATTAACTCTAGGGATGGCATATAACCGCTGATGAATTAATTAATGATGAATTAATTGGTGATTACTCAACCCAACATTAGTGCCTCTTTCACCTCCACTTGACGGATGTTATGCACTGTATGTCACTGTTATGCCAAAGTATACAACAACCAGTGGGACTTGAGATTTTATTTTATTATACCGATCGATTGGAAATCATTTCCTGAGTCACTTCCTGAATTAATCTAAACGCGTCTGTCTATCTGTCATTCTGATGTCTGGTCCTCTATCTGCACTTCGAGACATTTCCATGAAACTCGGAGCATCGAAGGAACGCTATTAGTAGTTCAGGTAGCTTGGATCGGACGACTTTTTTGACGACTTTCCATACAACGCCCTATTTAAAAAGGTCGTTACGTAAGTAACTCTACTAAGTTTCGGTAAGAGTGTATGGTATAATAGTGGGCTGTGGCCGACTGTAATGTCTTTACTTTTTTTTTTTAAGTATGAGATCAATCAGATTATAAGGGGGGTGCCTTCTATACGTGTAACAGGGTTATGGTCAAAACGAAGTGGAGAAAAGAGCAAGAAACGGGGAGTGGCTGATATGGCTGCCGGATGTACCCCCCCAAAAATTAGATGGCAGACATTATTAAAGCAAAAGTAACTCCGCCTTCAGTTTTCACAACTAAACTTAAAAATAATGTTTTATTGAAAGTCAGTCTATTTTCTCCTATATTAGGATAACAGCGTCCATTGCAAGATTAAAGAGAATTCCTATGCATATATACATGGGTCGTTTCATATAAATCTCTTAATATTTAATTTTAAAACAAAACACTGCTTAATGCTATTGTTAATAATAATAATGATGATGATGTTACTATTCGTGGATTGTTGTTGTTGTTGTTGTTGTTGCTTGGATGTGCTTTATATTAAATTTTTTTTTTTTTTTTTTTGTATTTTTCATAAAGAAAATATCTGCTCCAATTTGGATCATAATAAAATATATTCGAGACAAAGGCGATAATCGACAGACTGTAGCAAGCGAGGTTTTTATCACGATTTCAATGAACTTTAGACAAAAGTTTATCTTGAAATACGGAGAAATCTTTTAATATGTTATGTGTATTGAGAAAAGGGAACCATATGTATATAATATAGCGAGTGGTAAGAACTCAACACAGATGGATGCCTTATAAGAGAAGAGACACTAACCCTTATTGCACACAGCAATAGTAATAGCAATAACAACATTAACTATAAATCATATGTGGAAGTTGCTCCGTACATATTGTATTACGCATGTATAGGTATTTTTTTTATTATTTCACTGTACGCCGTACGCTTATCAGGCTTCTAAAAAGCATGAGCGTAAAGACCTTAAAATGAATTAAGCACAGTATCTAACTCATAATAAATAGATATTCTTAGCTTAGAAATTCTTCATGATCCATTTTTAATTATACGAGGGCAGTTTCCTCGGAGAGAGAGCAAGAGCGAGAGAAAATACACTTTATTTTTAAATATTTTTTGATCTATTCTCACGATCAATGCTGCGTAATAGTCTACTAACTATGTCACGTGTTTCACAATACGTGGAAAAACGCATAGTAGATCTTGCATGCCGCAATGCAATTAGTCTGTCCGTCTATTCGTACATTTTTTACTAAAAATTAAAATTTTTCATTCGCTTTTGGAAAAAAATTCATAGATTCATAGAGAGAAATATGTTGGGATCTACATGTTAATAAGTTTGCGATCGCAAAAGATGGACAGAAGGACAGATGGAGGATATTTTCCTTTGTTTCTATTAAAAGTGGAAAAGGTTGTTCGAATCGAAAATTTATAGCCTAGGGACACAAGGAGGCGACATTGGCAACAATATCAAGGAAGCAAGGAAATTAGATCCGGATATCAATTATGACGAACGAGTCACACTATAATTGTAACATATTTTGACTTGCATTTAAGCCGGTCGGTAAGTAATAAATTTTTGTTTGATTGAAAGAAAATCCTGGACTTTGCCTTACTGGCGGTGGAGTGGTGCTACGTGGGCCACGTCCACTTTCACCCTTCATTTGCGACTTTCAACTGAGAATATATATAGGTCCAAAGGGCGGGAATTGGATAGTTGTGGGCGTAGTTGGGATATGCAGACCTGTGGCGCGTCCCCATTTAATTATTGCGAACTTCAAGATTCTATTAACAGAGCTTAGATAGACAAGCAGTGAAAGGGGCAGGCAAATAACGTTGAACCCCATTCAAAATGTTTTCATTCTCTTTTTTTTTTTTTGAAAATCATCAGTTTAATGCTTCCCTAGTGTTTCGATGTTTTTTTATCACGAGACCTTCGAAATATTCTTTAGTGGGTGCACTGATCTCATCCTCTGATTCATATTTCTGTTCGTTAGAGCATTCTTTTAAGACATGCACACAGGTGCATTGTATAGCCGTGATTCGAAACTTCAAATCTTGGAATTTTTCCAATGCAGCGACGGACTTGCGACATGGTACAGCAAATCCGCTGTGAATACATTTGAGAAACATTTTGATCATATCCAAATATATTCATATAAAATGCTGAATAAATTTCGTATGACATTCCGTGTCCGTACGACTAGGTTTAAATTCAGAAGAAATCATCGCAAAAATTTTCGATGGAGCAGATTTGACAACCAACCGACGAGAAGCTACGTCAAAAAGGTGGAAGAATTTAATACCCATTAATTAGTCATCTTGTGAAAATCTTGCGAATATTGTTTCGGTCGATATATCTGACGTTGGAAAACCATTTGGGACTCGAAAGCGGAATGAGACTTTCACTTCAGGACTTCATTTGACTGAAAGTCCTGCGCAATTGCTCCCATTCAGCTCATTTAAAAAAATTCCTAATGGGGCATTATTTTGACTTGCTTGAAGAGATGAAGCCGCAGTAACCAACAAGCAATTCGTATAGTTCTTGATCATAACAGCAGAGCAGCATCTTGCGACCCATTAATTTGCATTTTGTTTAATGATTCTCTCATAAATGAGAATGAGATTCTTGCGGACATTTTTTTCGTACATGCACCGTTATTTTGTCTGCCGAGATTTATCAAAGCAGTAAAAGAATTTTTTCGTAACCTATATTAGTTAGTATATACAAAATATAATTTTAAAATCATTTTAAATCTAATTGAAAACCGATAGCCGATAGATATTATGAGTGATGCGTAGAGTTTTTAAAGAAATTTGCTTAAAATTACTATCCTCGTGTAGTAAAGTTCTGCTGAAGAATAATATAAAGCAGAGGGACATAAGCGTAGCGTAATACCTTATCGCAATTATATAAGTGTATCTATTTCTTCTCGATTAGAATTTCTTAATACATTATATATGTATGTATGTATGTATGCACGTGTGTGTATTTGCATTAGTATAAATGTTTTCCTGTTCGCGTTATTTTACGATACATTGCTTATTAAGTGCAAAGTTTGTTTGTGGTTGCTGGGTCTCAGCTAGTAAATGATCGATCGATCGATCTATCGATCTGTACTTCAACGAGTACAGTACACGTAGCAATACAAATTAACAGAGCCAGAGATAGAGACAGACATAGAGACATATACATAGAATGTACATAGAACAAGAGATAATATTGTTTTTAAGTAGATGTTGAGATGCTGTTGACTTGTAAGTTTGTTTTTTTTTTTTTTTTAAGATTTCGTCGCTTATATTTGTGTCTTATCGTAAATATATTTAATTTTTATTTTATGTATTGATTTATTTAGTATTCGTAATTTGGTATTTTTCTTCTTTTTTTTTTTTTATTATTATTTTTTACTTTTTTTTTTTATTCAAGCGATAACATCTTTAGGAATATGGCTGACCTCTTTTCCAGCACACAACGACGTCAGTCAATCCATTTTAATACGATTTCTCAGACAAATGCACACGTACACACACACACATATATATATATATATATATGCATATATATATATATATTTTATATACTGCAATAATACAAATGCAATCATTCAGTGTTACAGTCGATCTATTAGTCAATTAGTCAGTCAGTTGGTCAATCAGAAATCAAAATGTTAAGAAAAAATAGACTTTAGTTTACTAACTTAAAATTTAAATAAATATTGATTTAATTATTTTTAATAGTAAATTAAAATAATTTCTCCCACTTTCTCACTTCTATTTTTTTTTTGTTTTTTTCTTTCTCTCTTCTTTATTACTGTATTAGTTATTCTAAAGGATGTCACCTTTAATATAATGTGCGAATTACTGGAATTTATGTATCAAGGCGTTGTAAATGTGAAGCATACCGAATTGCAAGCTTTCATGAAAATTGGCCAATTATTGCAAATTAAAGGTTTAGCTACCAATTCATCATCGTCGGCAGCTTCAACTACTTCTGAGAAATCTTCTAGTCAAAATGCAGCTAAATTAGATACCGATGGTAAGGCAGAGGCCATTTCAAGTACAAAGGCCAATAACACAACTACTAGTGGTAGCACTACGACTCCTACTACCAATAATAGTGAAGAGAATGCTGGTGAAAATTCCAATAGCGGCAAACAAACGGGAAGCAATAGCAATCCTAATACGCCGGTACGCACGGGATCGCCAGCGTTATCATCATCGTCCCGTATGGGCGTTTCAATTAATCCAACGCTACCATCCAATACTACGATAAATAAAAGTTCCAGCGATTCATCATCGCATCAATCTATGCATGGCGGCTATCATCATAGTTTAACGAGCGGTAAACGTTATTTCGATTACAATTCTGATACACTTTCGATACATGCACGCAACAAGCTACGACGTTCTCTAACGTCTGCCGATCATAGTAGCGATAATAATGACGTTTCCGCTGATGGAAACTCTGTGGAACAAATAAATGAGGATTTCTTTTTACCTCACATATCAATGGTCGAATCTAGATACGATTTAAATATAAAACGTGAAGCGGCTGAACATCATGCCGCCGCTTCATTACGTAATAACTTCCCATCGGCAGCTTTTGGTTTGGATTATAATTTCTATAAAAGCAACAGCAGTAGTGGTGGTACTGGTCAACCACCTGTTAGCCAAGAGCAATATCCTAATGATATACACATGCCTAGCGATTATTCGAAAAATTTTGGCAACCATATGGACATACCACCAAGTAAGTTGGTGTCGCTTTCAAATGTTCATGCTTTTTTTTCTCTTTTATACATTATCTCTCGGTAAAAATGTAACAATTTTTGTGTTTGTTTTTGGGGCCATCTTTCATTCACATCTCATATAGCTGGGCTATTTATTTCTCATTTAACATGCATGCGTAACAACAATCATTAATTCAATTATTGGTGTAGGGGCTTTTTAATCCTTACATTGTTTTTCTCTAATTACTTTTTTTTTTTTTTTTGTTTTACTTAATATTAATATAATTAATATAAGTGCAACTGTATAACGTAGCGCTATTAAAATTCTTAGTAACGTATCGTGGTTTCGAGAATTTTAGGCGCTTATTTTATATTCGCTATTTATTTTGAACGTTTGAAGCAGACCTTGAAGCAGATTTTGTATGCATCGATGGAATTTGATTGATACGCTAATATTTTCTTGCGTAACAATACCTCTTCGTCCTGCTACGGAGACAGCATTCGTTGAATAAAATACAGTGATCCGTTAGTTTGGCCCATTTGCACTATCTGAAGTCCTTCAGTCCGCTTCACGTGAGAGATCGAAGACAGCATTCGTTGAATCAAAGACAGTGATCCGTTAGATTCGCACATTTACACTATCTGAAGTCCTTCAGTCCGCTTCACGTGAGAGATCGAAGACAGCATTCGTTGAATAACAGGCGTTAGTTTGGCCACTTGCACTTTCTGAAGTCCTTCAGTCCGCTTCACGTGAGAGATCGGAGACACCATTCGTTGAATAAAATACAGTGATCCGTTAGTTTGGCCCATTTGCACTATCTGAAGTCCTTTAGTCCGCTTCACGTGAGAGATCGGAGACAGCATTCGTTGAATCAAAGACAGTGATCCGTTAGATTCGCCCATTTACACTATCTGAAGTCCTTCAGTCCGCTTCACGTGAGAGATCGGAGACAGCATTCGTTGAATAAAAGACAGTGATCCGTTAGATTCGCCCATTTACACTAACTGAAGTCCTTCATTCCGCTTCACGTGAGAGATCGGAGACAGCATTCGTTGAATAACAGGCGTTAGTTTGGCCACTTGCACTATCTGAAGTCCTTCAGTCCGCTTCGCGTGAGAGATCGGAGACAGCATTCGTTGAATAAAAGACGGTGATCCGTTTGTTTGGCCACTTGCACTATCTGAAGTCCTTCAGTCCGCTTCACGTGAGAGATCGGAGACAGCATTCGTTGAATAAAAGACAGTGATCCGTTAGATTCGCCCATTTACACTATCTGAAGTCCTTCAGTCCGCTTCACGTGAGAGATCGGAGACAGCATTCGTTGAATAAAAGACAGTGATCCGTTGGATTCGCCCATTTACACTATCTGAAGTCCTTCAGTCCGCTTCACGTGAAAGATCGGAGACAGCATTCGTTGAATAAAAGACAGTGATCCGTTAGATTCGCCCATTTACACTATCTGAAGTCCTTCAGTCCACTTCACGTGAGAGATCGGAGACAGCATTCGTTGAATAAAAGACAGTGATCCGTTAGTTTGGCCACTTGCACTATCTGAAGTCCTTCAGTTCGCTTCACGTGAAAGATCGGAGACAGCATTCGTTGAATAAAAGACAGCGACCCGTTAGTTTGGCCACTTGCACTATATGAAGTCCTTCAGTCCGCTTCACGTGAGAGATCGGAGACCGCATTCGTTGAATAAAAGACAGTGATCCTTTAGTTTAGTCACTTGCACTATCTGAAGTCCTTCATTCCGCTTCACGCAAGACATCTTATGGCTTATTATGAAAAATCAATTATCCTATGGTCGCTACAAATTTTTCACTTTTGGCTACTCATGAGCTTTATAAAACGGCTTCAGCTAAATTGTAAGAAAACGAAAGGACTTCGTTTTGCAATATGGATCGAACTGAGAGAAAACTTATTGTAATTTCTTTTTCTCTATTCGAAGTAATCGCTCTCCTAATGCGTAATTTAAACTTAAAACCCCGGCTAAGCGAAGCTTTGAACGATCTCAAGTGCGCATAAATAACCCGCCGGGGACCCAAGTCATACCTAAAAGTCATCGTAGTACAGAAAATGGGCCTTTTAAAGGATGTGAAATTAAATTCGAATTCAATTACTAAAGACAGCGAACAACTACCTTAACCTTAGTTAAGATTAAGATATGATACGGCTTGTAACCCAACTCCGTTTAAATTAGAAAAGGTAAAGGACACATCGCGTATCTACACAAGAATTCTTTTCAAACAAGCTAAACAAATTCAAATTCTCCCTTTCGGAATTATTTTTATCAAATTTTTAAAATGTGATGCATTAACATAAACAAGTTATGAAAAATTGACACGATTCGACACTTTGGTGCGGCCAAACCGAAAAAATTCCAGCAATATTTGCCTATATCACATGACACTTGATTCCCAGTCCAAGCATATTCTTACTAGCGTTCCGTTACGGCGCTTATAGAGCTCTACTAAGGGCGTTCTTAGCTGGTATATAAACAGTCAGGGAAACTATCTGAGTTATGGGGAAAATTTTTGAATAACTAAATCTAAGAATGCATGAAAGTATTCCAAGTTTTTTTTCTTAATTCCTAGAAGGATATCAATTTTCTTATAAACAGATTATTATGTCAATTTCAAATTTTAGATCGGTCCTTATAATAGTTCGGACGAATCTTTGCGATTGATCAAATTGATTTGCGTATTTGAATGAAACCCGTTGAAGTTAAGTTGTTTTTTATTTTCTTCCGACATACAGACGAAGAGGAGATCGCCAAAATTTGAAAACCCATATGACTTTCTACTACTAATAAAACTGTTCCTATTCTCGTAATTGTGTGGGCTACTATTTTATTCAAATCAGTAAAACGTCTTTAGTGGTCTTCGTCGAGGTGGTGAAAAAACAAACTACCGACTCCTTGAACGCCTCTTTTGTATACGATTGGTATTAACTCTCAGTTTTAACCTATTTCCAATGGAAGTTTTATTTGCTTTCCGAGTCAAAATGGTTTCAAAACGTTTTTGAAAAAATCGTGTCATCTAAAATGAGGTACAGTAAGTGCGGGCCTTATGGAAAGCTCCACAAAAGAGCATGGGGTCTCGAACCCATAAACAATTTCCCAATGACATTTCAGCAAATGATCTTTGGGGTTCTTTTAGATGATATTGCTTTAGGCGCATGAGCTTGCCTATATTAAACACATGCATCAAATGCCGATATTTTTGAAATAAGAAATCCGAGGAATTAAACATGGTATGAGGCAATATTCTCCTCTCGTTTAATAATTTCTTAAATGTTAAAAAAGACGTCTATTTCCGATGTAGGGTTGGTTTTCTATTTCCAAAAAAGTATATGCGCCGGATGAACCGAAAGCGTGATCGGTTCACGAAAGCTCATTGCAGTACTTCTGATCGCGTCACTCTGGTCGAGTAAACGTTACTAACATTAATCGAACTGAGTCTTTACTCAAATATTGTACAACTTAAGAGTAAAAAAAATGCAAATACATTTACCAGCTCTCTTCATAGAGCTATATAAACGCCATAACAAGTCTCTGTTAAGCGATTAGTATCAAGAAATGGTTGGATTTGGAAGCCTGCTCTGACCAAATTGGTAAACATAAGATAATTGTGTGGACATCTAATGAATCTTTCGAGCGTGCAAAAGAAATTCATACTTTTAATGAATTTTAAAAAATAGCGCAACTAGTAAAGCAAGGAACGTTAGCAGACCAGAAGTAAGCGGAGTTAATATCGTTTTTAACGACCTCAAATTCGGTTTCTTCTCATAGCGAATTCTCATTACACATAGGTACGCTTGTGTGGAATATAAAATGTTGTTGGGTGAATATCGTCTACATTCGTCAAACTATATAGAAAAACCTTTGGAATGCTAGAGTCTCAAATTTGAATATTTTTTCTTCCAAATTCAATCATATTCTGAATTCCCGTTACTTGGCCGAGCTCCATTAAATTGTTTTCAGAGCTCTTTGTTAGAGTGAAAAAAAAAACTAGCTCTACTCAGCCAAAAATGTCGAAAACTTTAGATATTCTTAATAGGTTTTTCGAATCGATACCTCTTATTTGGACCGCATAACATATCGCTTTTTGTTTAACTTTTTCATTCCTTTAATGAATAGAAGAAAACCGCCACGCAACGAGGCACTTACCATAGATCTCAGAGTGTCTTTGAATTGAATTTCAATCAATATTTTGCAATCCGATAATATAATCTATCAAATTAAACAATCGATTCAGAATCGGGAACGGGTATAATGCATTGATTGAGCAAAAATCTTTTAACGAAACGTTTTTACTCGATACACTTAACATAAGCGGAATTGTTGATAGACGCATTAGAAAACGTGGTACGGGTACACTTTGGATAAGTTGACTATACATTCTCTTACTTCCTTATGCTTTCTTCTCACTATTTATCTTTTTAATTAAAATGCTAATGTAAATAATTCTTAACCTTACATTCACATTTTGAAATAAAGTAAAATTAGAAGCGTTCTTCTTTATGCCGTTTATCGCTTTAGTAAAAAATAAAAGAGAAATTTATTTCTTTTTAATATCATCCATTCTATTCTGGAATGCTTGCTTATTATCAATTTCTTTTTCCTACCACTTTGCCTTATGCGTAAACAATAAAACGTTATTCACTACAATGATGACAACGATGCTGGTTCTGTTGATAACGTCGCGATATATACGCGATTCAAATATGACGGATACCTGAATAATAATTAATGGATTGATCGTAATAGACGGCAGCAACATGGTCATGTTAAGTTCAACATCTTTGCTGCATGGTAATTGCGTATTCAATCGCAATAATACTGTAGCTACTCAGCAAGGCATGAAAACTTATTGGCTCTGCAAATCATACCGAATTAGTATGTGTCGGGCGCGTTGTATCACACATCAAGGTCGAATAATATCGGCCACTGGTGTACATAATCATACACCACATATGAGGGGCGGTGGCAATAATGCAGTTGGTTCGAATAGTGGAGCGGGTGGTGGTAGTGGTAGTGGCAGTGGCAGTGGTGGTGGTGGTGGTGGTGGTGGTGGTGGTGGTGGTAGTGGTAGCGGTAGCAGTAGCGGTGCTGGCAACGCTAATAATCTCGGCGGTAATAGCAATGGTGGTAATAGTATTGGTGGACCGATTAACGAAAATCCACAAAATTCAACCAGTTTGATAAACACAAATAGTTCATTGTACGGTTCAAGATATACTCAGCACTCGAACACGAATATGGTGCAACAGAATCCGCAGGGCCATCAGCCATTAGCACCAGTAACCAGCCATTTAACTACTGGTGTCCCTAGCAATCATTTTTCTCAAAATCTACCTAATTTGTTAATACAACCTCATGTTAGCAATAGTTCGGTAAGTCTTTTACAGCCTACACCGCTTCATACAATGCCACCAACTCTACAAACTCCCGTTATACAAAATATAATGCATCCAGGTATGATGCATACAACGCATGCTAATTATGAGATAACGCCTATTATGCATGCATCACCTGCAGATAATGTTCGCCATAAAACGAGTATTTTCGATCATCAAGAGAAGTCTTTAAAGAATTCTTTAAATGATGAACATATTCCAGTGCATAATGAAGCAACCCCACCGCCTCAAACGATGAAAAATTCATCAGCTGCGGATGTTATGAGAGGAGTAAGCGAAATGGAAAAAGATCCTGGCAATGGTGGGGTTTTGGGCTTACATCAGCATCAAGCTCAAATTATAGAGTCGGTTACAATATCACCTGGGGGACCTAGTGATGGTCGAGCCAATCACAACTTTAAAATGGAAACTATGTAATGTACTCGAATTGAGGCAAATGTGTTATTAACGCGGGCAGCAGGCTAAGTTAAGTTTTGAGAATCTACGTTTTCTTGACAAGAATATATTAGATTAATTTATTCAATTTTATAAATCTTTTAAAATTAATAATTTGAATTAAAGAGTAAAGTTTTTTTTTTCAGTGTATGTGAACAAAAACATTATATATCCAATAAATTTTTAACAATCAAACATAATTTTCAAGTATTTTCTAAGCAGGAAAAATCAAGATTAAGTACTAGAAATAGTATTTAATTTTTTTTTAGTTTTTTACCATTATGTACCGGTATTGAAATTAACTTACACATTAACCTTTAACATGTATAAAAGTAAACTTATATACGGTAAGTACAATTTTATGTGAGTGTGTGATATATTCGAAGCGCATATATAAATATATATTTTGCATGCTTTTTCATCAATTTAAATAATCAGTCATTTAACAGTAAAAGAATTTCCCATCAAATACATAAAAAGCTTTTCATGTTCTTACATCTCAATGAACGTCGGTATTTATCATTCATGGTAGAAACACGTAAACATATTGTTTCATACCTTACTATTTTTCATATCTTCAAAAAAACGAAACTGTCCTATGTATAAAATTTATCATCCTTATAGGGCTTTCGTAACAAATGATATAGAAAAAAAGCAATGAAATAATATGCAAAACAAAAATTAAGATAAACATGAACACTTGAATGGTCTTAATATTAAATGTCAAATTTACAATGAGACAAGATCAGTAGATCATTGTCTAACGATCAGTACAAATCTCATTTTGCAATTTGTTCATTTCTTTCATTACTCACTATAAAAAATAACAGGCAAAACACATAGAAATTAAGTAAGCTGAAAAAAAACAAGCGGTAAACTCTCCTATTTTACAACTTGCACATATAGTATGCATTTTGCTGAATGATAATTTAATCCTTAGATAATTTCTTTATGGGTTTTGCCGATAACACATATAGTCCATCTTTCATGCTAATAACCCTTAACAAAAGAAACAAAATCTTTACTCACTTGCATTCCGACGTTTTTAGTTGCGCCAGGAGAACATTGGTTTCAGGGTAAATTGGAATTTATGCTAAGTCAACGCGGCAAGCCCCTATTAGTACATGACGGTCATACATTTGGGATACAATACGTGCGAAAGGATAAAAAATACTGGCAGTGCAATTTATCGCGTAAATTTAATTGTAAAGCCCGAGTTACTACCACTGATACCGGCGAGATTATTGTCACGAATAACGAACATTGCCATACTGAGATTAGGCAACATTTGCGTAAGGATTATCAACGCAACAAAGTAATGATGAACGCTCTCATTAATTTAAGTACAAATCGTTTGGCGGTAGAGAATTTAAGACGTCATAATAATATCAATAATATCGCTAATAATTTAAGTAATTTACAATCAATGGTGGCCGCCTCGCAAGCAGCTGTCGTTGCATCGCCTCTGTCCCTAGGAACGACAAATGCTGAATCACCGGGTTTATTGGATTTAGGCAAACGTTCCACGAATGTAATGGATTTACATGAACAGAAAATGACAAAACATCATTTGCCGTTCAATTTAAACACTGGGGATGAGGAAGATAATTCAGATATGCCGTTAGATTGTGGCATACATTCGACAGCACTTAGGGGAGAGCACGATCACAGTGAACACATGAAAGTTGATCATGATAGTAATAACACATCACATGATTGGAAATATAAAAACGAAACAATATGAAAATATTCAACACGTTAAATAATTAACCCGAATTAACTGTTTGTACTTTTTTCTAGTGCTGTAAAGCGTGCCTTTATAATTTTCACAATTTTAATCCAGTGTTGTCAACTCATAAAAACACTATTTTAGCTAAGAGAATAGAAATGAAATGTTTGGTAGAACAATTTTAAAATAAAATAAGATTCTCATTTAACTTTATTAACTAAATACTCAATTTCCTAGGAAAAATTTAAGAAAAAGTTACAAGTTTTGAGATTTTCCAAAGAAAACTATATCGCAAACAAAGATTTTGAGCTTCGTTCTTGGACTTCAAGACAACCAACATTGCCAATACTTTTATATACGCAGACATAGTAATAAATTCATTAGAAACATTAAAAAAAAATTATGTAAAGTTTTCTTTATTGTTTTTTTTTTTTTATACAATAAAATATAAATTCTGGGGTATCTGGCGTTTTACTTAGATATTAATTACCCTACTAAGCTTTTGTATGCGGTTTAATAAGAGATCACCTTGTTTAATAGTAGCCTGATATTGCCAGTTTTTGCTGTCGGGGCGATTGGTTTCCACTATACCACCCACACGATCAACCTTAGCGTGCAGACGTCCAGCTGCTATGAAACGCGACAACTCCTGATCAATATAATCCACGTTTACGCCAAACGCTTCAGCCATGTATTGCAAGGTAAGCGAACGATAAGATTCAAGCAATTGTGTATAAGCTAATATACGCATTTCACGCACATAAAATCGGTAATGGGGGTGAGCTAAATAATCGTTGCGTAAAATTGTTTCCACTTCAGCTAGATATTTGAAGAAATCGGCGTACTGACAGTTATAGAGTGAAAACAAATAACGTTTGACATCCAGCAGACCATGTAGAACTTCTTGGATTTCTGCTCCTTTAACTACTTTATCACGTAATTCATTGCGCGGTAAAGCGATCATGGCAACATATACAGTATACCGTACGAAAGTGGGATAATCCATCAGTTCGTAAGAAGTGAATGTGCTGACCGTATCCAAAAAGAAAGTTGCAGCAGCCTTAAAATCTCGTATCGCTACTGAGTACACACCTTGATAAACTTTCAAGCGGTTACGGCGATCCCAGTCGCCACCCTCTTCAATTAAATATTTAGCTTTATCTATGTTGCGAGTAATTAGATCATGATCCAAATAGAATAAACCCAAACGTATCAAATGAAATACTATATCAAGACGATGGCCAAGAGATACAGTCTTTTCATAAGTTTTACAAAACGCTGATTCTGCACCCGCTTTATCACCTATGCGACAAAGATATTCCGATTTCTTGAGATTAGCTTCCCGTACTTCCATTTCACCGAGATTCTTCTCGGCGTCTTCGATAGCTTCATCTAATTTCTCCAAATCGATACGATTTTGTTCACGCATAAGCGACAATAATAATTTATCCACAGTCCAATTCAATTCAGTGCACAAGTATTCATAATACGGAGCCATGTTTTCTGCCTTCACGGCTTCCAGCAATTTGGTCTGCAAGGCCCCATCTTGTTTGTGCTCAGGCAAAGTTAGCAAAAATTTGTACTGAGCCAATTCCAAGTTGGGATTTTTCTCCAACCCTTCCTCTTCCAAATTTTCAATCGGCATTCCCAAATATTTCTTTCTTTCCTTGGATTAATTTAATACAAATTCGATAAAAAAATTTTTTTTCTAAATGTTTCTTATTTATTACAGTAGACCGCAAAGTCACTCAACCAGGTTGCCAATGTTCTTTATTAAAATCATTTTTAGTTCAGTTCATCCACAATCATCTAATTTTACATTGAGTTCATTAAGTGAATGGATCAATATACATGATATTGCATAAAAAGCTGGAAGTGATTAAGATATTTGAAAGGCAGCGTAGGAACCAAGATCGAGCTGTATTATTTGCACATTAAGATTACAAAGCAAGATCATATGAGCACGGAAGAAGGTTGTTTGCACTTAAAATGTAGGCGTTTATAGCCATAATTATATTTTATGCAAAAAATATTTAACCACTTCGAATGATTTAATCATATGTAAACATTGCAGCGCAGTTTAAAATCGGGCAGTTTTTTTTAAGATTTTATATATTTATTATTGGTCTTGGCAACTCTCTAAAGAGGGGTGTTGATCGATAATCAGCAAATACGAAAATTTTTAAAACTGTAGAGATTTTTTCTACCTCTTATTTGGACGAAATCTAATACTGGGTTGTGTAAAAAAGAAAGTATCTTCTAGAGATTAAAGTGTGCCCATTCCAGCTTCAAGTTTAATTAAGGAGAAATGATTGGTGGCTTGTTTGTTTACAACCACAAAGGTGAAGTGCTAATTAGTCGTGTTTATCGTGACGATATTGGACGCAATGCTGTGGATGCATTCCGTGTCAATGTCATCCATGCACGTCAGCAAGTTCGTTCGCCTGTTACCAATATAGCACGCACCAGCTTTTTCCATATTAAGGTAAGTTATTGGAAGATTCGTAATTAATCGTTAACATTTCCGTATTTTCAGCGTGCGAATATTTGGTTGGCCGCAGTGACCAAGCAGAACGTCAACGCTGCCATGGTGTTTGAATTTTTGCTTAAAATTATAGAAGTCATGCAATCATACTTCGGTAAAATCTCCGAAGAAAATATAAAAAACAATTTTGTTTTAATTTATGAGCTGCTGGACGAGATTTTAGATTTTGGTTATCCACAAAATACTGATTCAGGTACTTTGAAAACATTTATAACACAACAAGGCATTAAATCCGCTACCAAGGAAGAACAAATGCAAATTACGTCCCAGGTGGGTCAATTAATTGAATTTTAAAATTGATGTCTCCTGCATTGTTTGCGGAATTTCAGGTTACTGGGCAGATCGGCTGGCGTCGTGAAGGTATTAAATATCGTCGCAATGAGCTATTCTTAGATGTGTTAGAATATGTTAACTTGCTAATGAGCCCTCAAGGTCAAGTGTTGTCGGCTCACGTAGCTGGGCGTGTCGTCATGAAGTCGTACTTGTCAGGTAATGGCATTTCAATTCAAAGAAGTTATTACTATTGTAAAATATTATTTTTTTACCGACTTAATCTTGCAGGTATGCCCGAGTGTAAATTTGGCATTAACGATAAAATTGTTATGGAATCTCGTAATCGTGGATTGTCGGGCAACTCTGAAGCGGAAACCTCTCGTTCAGGAAAACCCATGGTAGTCATTGACGACTGTCAATTCCATCAGTGTGTTAAACTTAGCAAATTTGAAACAGAACATTCGATTAGTTTTATACCGCCGGACGGTGAATTCGAACTGATGCGTTATCGCACAACCAAAGACATTTCGTTGCCATTCCGTGTTATACCTTTGGTACGTGAAGTCGGACGCACCAAAATGGAGGTTAAGGTCGTTTTAAAATCTAATTTTAAACCATCTTTACTGGGACAAAAGATTGAAGTCAAAATACCTACACCGTTAAATACATCGGGTGTGCAATTGATTTGTTTGAAAGGTAAAGCGAAGTATAAGGCTTCGGAAAATGCTATAGTCTGGAAGATAAAACGTATGGCTGGTATGAAAGAGACACAGTTGTCCGCTGAAATTGAGTTACTCGAAACTGATACTAAGAAGAAATGGACGCGTCCACCGATATCAATGAATTTTGAAGTCCCTTTTGCGCCTTCCGGATTTAAGGTGCGTTATTTAAAAGTGTTTGAACCAAAACTCAACTATTCCGATCATGATGTGGTGAAATGGGTGCGCTACATCGGACGCAGCGGTCTTTATGAGACCCGCTGTTAAATGCATCATATATACGCACACATACATTTTTATTGAGCTGAGCTCTTTACAATACTACTCTTGAGCTGGTTAACTTTGGCGTGTGTATGAGCGATTTTTTCTTATTCGAAATCACTCAGCCGATTTCGTCAAATAAGTAACCAAGTGACGAGGAGGCGACAATCCTGTTTTCTTTTTGTTTTATCGATCATTATTTAGATTCCTTTCACTGTTGAAATTTTTTTCCAACTGATAGCAATTCGCGATGAAGTACTACGCGATCGACCTTTTCATTACTGCTTTAAATATTTCTACTACGTGCATTTTATAATCAATTTTTTTAATGGCCTCCAGTGATATAAATAGAACAAATCATTATTTGATTTCTATGTTAATTCTGAAAACATCTTTATTAAATTCATCCGCTTTAGGGTAATTTTATCGGCGTCTACACAGAAGTAAATCTGCCTGCGTATTCGGCTTTGCTAAGTTGTATAGTTGTATAGTGTGCACAACGTTGTATTATTATAATTATCTCTTATTGTTCCATATTATCGCAAATAACCCATAAACATGTTAAAAAAATTAATTAGAATAAAGCTAAAAAATGACGCTGAAAATTGAATATCTATATCGCTTTAATTGCATTAATTGTAAACGGAAATTTGTATAAGGACCATTTTTTTTTACTATGATCATTACCAAGAAGTACCAAATTATCGAAAGAGAACTATATACCTTTAAGACTTTTCCAATAGAAAATTGGCTACCAATTTATTATATTCTTCTGCATAGCGTAGATGGATGTTATGTTTCCCGTCTGGAAACTCGTGATATCTAAACAAAAAACAAAGAAATCACTTTTACAGCGCACAAACGATTTTCCTCCGTTCATCTCGTGGAAACTTACTTAAATCCTCGTAGATGTTGCTTTAAATAGGGTACATGTTCTTTAGCTAACATTGGATCTTTTTTGCCGTGCAATATAAAAGTTTTCGCCTTTATTTCCCGAACTTCTTTCATGCAAAGGTCGCCTTCACATTTTTCATATATATTTAAAATCGAATCTACCCATTCGTTCCATAGCTCTGCAAATCTTTCTGCCCCATACAACTTCTCCAAGGGCTCGCGCATTCGTGCGGACCAATTCTTCACGTCTCTTACACCTTTCAATATATTAACATCTTCATCACTTACGTACGCATTTGCACCCCATATAACTAATTTATCTACATTTTCCGGATAACGACCGGCAATAATAAGTGCAGTTACGCCGCCATCACTCCAACCCAGTATAGAAAATTTCGGTCGATTTAAAGCTTTCATCAATTGTACTGCTTGACGAGCATCGTTTTGAAAAAAATCCAAATCAAAATTACGTTTCGGTGGAATTGATTTGCCATAGCCAGGCGGATCCCAAGCTATTACAGTGTAATTGGGTAACAATTGTGGTAGTTGTTCAATCTGTGGCTTAAAATCAGTCCAATTGGAGCCTACTGCTCCTGGCATTAATAAAACACTTTTATCACCTTTGCCACTTTCCACAATATTGATATCAAATTCATTCACTTTCACTTTATGTTCAATGTGTTTGTAACGTTTAATAGCACTTACGATTGTTTTAAAAGATGACGAGATATTTTTATTTATTGCTCTGAACATTTTCTTTTTCGTATAGAAAAGAGGAATGGATGAAGTTTATAAACGATAATATCTATATGTCCAATAAAGTTGTGTTTTTAGCACAAAATTTTCTTAAGAGCTCCAGCTGAAAGCCGCAATAAAAATGATAACAGAGAAAAAAGACGATGCAGATCACCTGATGTATATGTTACGACCGAAAAGTATATGTTTAGTAATGATTTGTTGATAATTGAATTTTGATTAGTTGTGGTTCAAGTTGTAATGGTCCATTCAGTAATATCCATTCTGGGGTTTAGTCCAGAAAATTAATATCAAGCTATAGCTGTGAAGCTGACCTTAATGAAGAAATTCTCTCAATCAAATATCTCCCCAAAGACACCTTCCGTCTAATTTTAGACAAAATCATGCAAGATTAGAAATACAAATATTGGGATATAGGAAAATCAAATGGAGACCGTCTCTTTTACAAAATTTATCCTTTCATGACTTTTAAAGCTTTTACATGCGGATTAAGGTGCTTAACAGACTACTCATGTGCAACCACACACATGGCAAAGTTTATTTAAACCTGGTTGGACTAGTGTCATCTAACATAAGTGATCAATATCACACAAAAGAATCAGCTGGGCATCTTATTGGTATGTGCAGTTTTTTCATTTTTCTTTTCTAGTCAGATTGTGTGGTGTGTTGCCGACTTGGTTCGTAGTTGCAGACCAGATGATGAATATTTAACAGCGATGACGATGAGCACAAACTTGTTAGAACAGAGAGGCGAACTTGTTGGAACAGAGGGGCGAACTTGCCACGTAAAATGTCATGTAAAATTTTGAACAAACATTGTAAAGGTTGTTACGGACAAAAAAAAGTTCTAACTTCAAATACTGTATGGTGTTGCCAAGTGATGAAACCAGAAAATTATTCTACCTTCATGACTGTAAGATCAAAAGAGTAATTGACGATAAACAGATAACGTTTATATTGAATGGTATATCAAAGTTCAATACCCGTTAGTTTAATAAAGGAAGTCAGCTCTTTCAGTAACTATTCATCGTTTGCTAAAAACATACTTTTTAAATCCGGAAAGAATGAGAAAAAGAGACTGATGCTTAAGCTGCATCTGTCGCGAAAATCACTAGGTGCAGACCCAATCATATGAAGATAGGCTTTGTCATATGTGTGTCCTGTTAGAAGGCGAATTAGCAATTTATTTTCACATGAGTTGAAAATCTCCGAAAATCATGATTCAGCGTTTATCTTTGGACTGCTTCCTTTGTTAGACCATCACCTTTTTTTCATTGAGCGAAAGACAGTAATGACTTGGTACCCAAATAAGATGCAGTTTCGTTGCGGACAATAATATAATGCTTCTAAAGAGGTTAGCAATTTATTGCGATTATTTGGAGAGAAGGCCTATTGTAAGTAGAGAGAGTTACCTTACGATTGCTGTAAGCTCCACAAAAATTAAATGAAACTTGTCAAGCACTTTGAATTTATAAATTCTACTGTTGCATCTGTAATATACATTTTAAAGGATTTGTCAACATATGTATTCATTTTTTGATAGAAGATTTACTGGACCATTGATAGAGCTGGATTTTGCTTGCTATGAGTCAATCTGGAGAATTATAAGTGGTTGACCGACCAGATTGTCTCTTGGATCGAATTAAGGCTCTATACAATGAGAGGGATTTACTTGCCGAGAACACATTGTAAGTAATTCTCATTAATTTAATAGCGTTCAGATTCTTGTAGCAATCCTTAATTAAATTTTGATAATTGTTAAGAAAAGAATTGCGTTAATATTCCTACCGAAGAATCATAATGATTTGGTTTGAGTGATGTCCATATTAATTAGCTTGCTCGAACTCTGGTCAAAACAAATTGTTTAAGTTTTACTTGGATTAACGGTCACGTTTGAGACGTAACATTTGTTATAGAAAAGAGTAACGTTTTTGTGAAAGATTTCGAACCGCCACTTCATGCGACAATGCGATAATCGCCAAGACAATCTAATCATGTTGCCGGTCTCATGGCGAACCTTTCTTCTGCGCGTTTGTCATAGTTTTCCTCTTCGATGAAAGATCATAAAAGAGAGTTACGACATACTGTGCTGGAAATGTATACATTGGTTGGCATTGCTTATTTATTTTTCTCTTTCTTCACAATTCACAAATCGTCAGCAAATTTGCCCACATAATTAGATTCAACCACGTTTACCAGATTACCCCACAGATACGATAGCGTAAAGAAATGAATGGTAAAACTTTTAAAGAAACCTGAACTGGCAATTCTATCAATGTGCCTTCGACCTTATCTTTTCTAAATTTGCCGGTTTTTGTTATCCTTATGTCAGAGAGAGTTTAGCCGAAATCGGTTAACAAATAATTAGCCGCGCTTTTAAGGCAGTAATGATCGCTGTCGCCATTTTGAATCTTCGTTTGCTAGTACAAAGCGAAGGCAAGCAATTTTATTTTAATTTGTTAAGAGAAAACTTAGTAAATTTGTGTTTTTTAAATTGCAGATAATTAAGATAAAATGGTTAATCAAAAATCAAACAAACTGTTCGTAGTGAAACGAGATGGTCGTAAGCAAATGGTACATTTCGACAAAATAACTTTCAGAATCCAAAAGTTGTGCTATGGTCTTAATATGGATTTCGTTGATCCGACCGCCATTACATTGAAAGTAGTAAGCGGGTTGTACAGCGGCGTCACCACGCAAGAATTGGATAATTTAGCTGCCGAAACTGCGGCCTGCATGACCACCGATCACCCGGACTATGCTATTTTAGCCGCCCGTATTGCTGTATCAAACTTGCATAAAGAAACAAAGAAAGTATTCTCTGAAGTGATAAGTGATCTACATCATAATGAAGATAATGGCTTTCCTTCGCCTATTATATCAGATTACCATTACAAGGTTGTAAAAGAGCATGCTGATCGACTAAATTCGGCCATTATTTATGATCGCGATTTCAGTTACAATTTTTTTGGCTTCAAAACATTAGAACGGTCTTATTTGTTAAAGATTAATGGGAAAATTGTGGAGCGGCCACAACATATGTTAATGCGCGTCGCCATTGGCATTCACGGCGACGATATTGAGGCAGCTATCGAAACTTATAATCTCATGTCGGAGCGTTACTTCACTCATGCTTCCTCAACTTTATTTGGTGCTGCTACAATTCGCCCGCAACTGTCATCCTGTTTCTTGTTAACGATGCCGGAAGACTCCATTGATGGCATTTTTAAGGCTGTAAGGCAATGTGCTGAAATTTCCAAATCGACGGGTGGCATAGCTCTGAATGTCCATTGCATACGAGCAAAAGGTACGAAGATATCCGGTACTAATGGCGTATCGAATGGTCTTGTTCCTATGTTGCGCGTCTTCAACAATCTTGCCTGTTATGTACATCAAGATGGCAGACAACGTAGAGGTGCACTTGCTATCTACTTAGAACCTTGGCACGCAGATATTTTCGAATTTCTTGACTTGAAAAAGAATACGGGCAAAGAGGAAGATCGTGCGCGGGATTTATTTTTTGCTCTGTGGATACCAGATTTATTCATGAAAAGAGTGGAAGCTGATGAGCATTGGTCTTTAATGTGCCCCCATAAATGCCCTGGCTTGGAAGATGTATATGGAGACAAATTTGATAAATTGTACATAAAATATGAAGACGAGGGTAAAGCGAATAAAATAATAAAAGCTCGTGAGTTGTGGTTCGCAATATGCAGTGCCCAACTAGAGACCGGAACTCCTTACATGCTTTACAAAGATGCTTGTAATCGCAAAAGTAATCAACAGAATGTTGGCACAATAAAATGCAGTAACTTGTGTACAGAAATTGTCGAATATACGTCGGCTGAGGAAATAGCAGTTTGCAATCTGGCCTCAATTGCGGTGAATATGTTCGTGACGACAGATAAACAATATGATTTCCAGAAACTGAAAGAAGTTGCAAAGCTTATAACAAGAAACCTCAATAAGATAATCGACGTCAATTACTATCCGCTGCCGGAAGCCAAAAAATGTAATTTACGTCATCGTCCAATCGGTATAGGCGTCCAAGGATTTGCTGACGCACTAATTTTAATGCGTTACCCCTATGAAAGCGAGAATGCTGCTCGCTTAAATAAACAAATTTTTGAAACCATATATTATGGTGCTTTAGAGGCTAGTTGTGAGTTGGCCAAACAATACGGTCCTTACGAAACATATGAAGGTAGTCCAGTTAGTAAAGGCATTCTTCAATATGATATGTGGGATAAGACGCCTACTGATCTATGGAATTGGTCGGCTCTTAAAGACGACATTAAGAGTTATGGAGTGCGCAATTCCTTGCTGGTAGCACCAATGCCTACCGCGTGTACTGCTCAAATTCTTGGTAATAACGAGTCTTTCGAGCCATACACGTCAAACGTTTATACACGACGTGTATTGTCCGGTGAATTTATTGTCGTCAATCATCATTTGCTCAAAGATTTGACTGAGTTGCGCCTTTGGAATGATGACATGAAAAACTTAATATTGGCACATCGCGGCTCAATACAAAACATTGAGGCCATACCTGATAGTATAAAAGAATTGTATAAAACGGTTTGGGAAATTTCAGTGAAATCAACCATTAACATGGCTGCCGATCGCGGTGCTTTCATCGACCAAAGTCAATCATTCAATATACACGTAGCTGAACCTAGTTATGGTAAATTGTCTTCTATACATTTTTATGGATGGAAAGCCGGTTTAAAGACCGGTATGTATTATCTAAAAACGAAGCCAGCAGCGAATCCCACACATTTTACAGTCGATAAAACTCGTTTAGCTGTAAATAGCACGTCACCAGCGAAAAAGGTTGAAGAAAACAACGGTGGCAAGGAAGTACTAGAATCAATCGCAAATAATGCGGAAACCAAATGTGAAAGTCAAATGGCTGAAATCGTATGTTCGCTAGATAATAAGGACGCTTGTTTGTCGTGCGGCTCATGAGCTGCAATTCTATATTCCTTGTCAGAGAATTTTGTTAATAAACATGCATTTTTCTTCGTGTAAATGTGGAATTAAAGTCAGTCAGGTGGGATATCCTCGATTTCTGGGTAGAACTTTAAATGAGAGCCTAGACTTTCGAGGACATTATGAGAATTCTTTTGAAAAGTGAGTTTGGATAAGCCATCCGCTAACCGCTTCCAGAAGAGCTGACAGTAAATAGAGCACTAGTATGTTGAAAGACCAATTTGGCACGTATAACCTCATGTAATTTACTGAAATATATAGAGAAAAAAAGTACAGGCTTTTCAAAAAAAAAAAACTTGTTGAACTTGCACCTTAAACTCTTACATACTTATTCTCAAGGTGTTAATTAAGGTGAAGGATAATTTTTCCAGAAGGGTGTGTCTCTAGTACCGTTTATTTACCCAGATGAAGCTTGTTAATGATTTTTTAACTTATTTTCGCAATATGCTAAGGAATATTGCTAAGGACATGTTCAGTTTTAATGACCAATCGGGAGCTGTGCTAAAGCTTTCATCGTTTTAGAATTTTTATTAACGTATAATAACTTTTTTTATTGTTATTGTTACAACAATTTGTTGCCTTTAATTTGGTTTGTATACAACGAATTTTTCTTTTTTATTAAAAATTGTAGAATTTGAAGATTAGAAAAACAATTTATATATATAATACACGACATTTCGCTAACCAAATGATACTGTAGATCACTGCTTGCGATATAAGCAAACGCTATGAAAAAGAGCAAGAAAGAGAAAAATGCGACGGCATGATGTGTTCAACAAGGGGGTAACTACGCAAAAATGAACTTATGCTTTGGGGTGATTATATATTTTTTAGTTAACCAGATCCCAGAAGGCCCTATGTGAACACAGAGTTCTTTGTTTGGGTCTTAGTAAAGTTGGGGTAGATTTGAAATATATTATTTTTATTTATTTTATTGATTATTTGTTTTTTTTCTTTTTTTTAATTTGCACACTACTCGTCCGCCACATAGGTTAGAACGGAAGAGCGAGGAATAAATTCCGATGTTTAAGATGTAATGTGGTATATGACTATAAAAAGTTATATGAAGGAATTAGTGGATGTGAGAGCAAAAAAGTGTAAAAGAGAGTAGGTCCATAAACTGACTGGTAAGCGTTTATATGCCTTGATGACATGATTTAGAAAAATAAAAAATTGCGACGTAAGCTGCAAAATGTCATGCACGCTATGGTCACGAAAACCACAGATACTCAATTTGCGAAGTGTGGAAGGGCGAATAGAAGTGGTAACATTCAGACACACAAATAGGATATGATCAGGAGATTGTAAGACACCGCATGTGCTTAAGGAGTTGTTTACTATTTTTATTTTGAATAGATGATCATTATATCTCGTGTGATTGGGCATGAGCCTGTTAATAAGAAAAATAATGTCACGTCTGAGTCGTAACTGATAAATCAAAAGGCTTTATTTGTTGCTTATTTGAGAAAGTAATTTAAAGAAAGCTATATTAATACTTATGAGATGAATCTGCAAAACGAGATCATGGAACACAACTTCACTCAGAAATATATCGAGTAAAGATAACAAAACTGAAAGTTTAAATGTAATTTTTTACAGTTTAATAAACTGAGAGTTAAATACAAATTTTATATTTAAATTTGACCAAAAATTCCTTTTCGCGTTCATAGACGGTAAGGAAGACTGCTTCCTTACAACGGTTACCATACGAGTTGATTGAAAATGACATTTCGAAACATTTCGTTCCTCGTGGGTCTACTACGACAAATTCAAGCGTAAAAAACTGATGGAGAAGTTCAGGAGAGCCATCCATACCGACACCGAAGCGGAATATTCATGGCCACTAAGTTTTGCTGCGCATATGGACGGATCAGCAAAATATAGTATATTACGAGCTGCTAATACCGAAAGAAACTGTTATTGAAGATGTCCACCGACGTCGATTGAACAATTTGAACGACGTGCTGTCGCAAAGAAAGTACTAATTGCGGTTAACAAATGCAAAGTTATTCTGCTTTATGGCATAGGCTCGGCCACACGTCACAGGAGTTGCCAACTGTGCACTGTTGTAACAATAATTGGAAGTTCTAACGCACCCAGGCTACTCATCTTCCATAGCGGCTTCTGATTACCAATTATTCAGATCGATGCAGCATAATTTGGCTGGCACGTGGTTCTGAAAATCTAAAGAAATACGAAAATGGGTCGATGATTGGATCGCTGCCAAACCAATATCGTTCTTTCGACACGGTGTCGCCATGTTGCCAGAAAGTTGTAGAAAATAATGGAAAATATTTTGATTAAAATATATTGTATTAAGGGTTTAGTTTATTCAAGTGAGAAAATGGTCAAAATACTTGCACGCACCTACTATTTTATCCAATATAAGTAATAAATGAATATTTCGCTATATAGTGTATTTTACTGTTTTGAATAATCGATTAAATATGAGAATATCAAGCGAATCTTATATAATACATGCAAGCACCTAGTAGGAATACTCATATATGCTTGCGTGTATAAGCTTGCTTAAGGAATAGCATGAACCGCTTAAGTAATATTAGTTCAAAATTTAATTCTTATAGAAGTAAATTAGAAGGAAAGTAAACACTTGCTAATATTACTTGTTGGTGTGGTCAGTTGCTCTTTGCTTGGTCTTATGTTCTTCGCATATATTCGCAACTTCGAACATATCGTCATTTGGTCTGTTGATAAAAATTCTCTTGGAAAATTATTAAATTATTAAAGTAAGTTATATACGTTTTATTACGGCCGAGCGAATATCTTGTATATTATAGTTCATATTAGAGACGTTAATATTAAATACATCTTTATTGCGCACGTATGCTCGTGTTGCCCTTCATTCATAATTTTCATTTAGTTTTAAGTTAACGTTAGTTTATTGTTAAGTAAAAAAATAAATATATATATATGGTATTCTTAGTACATTATTGGAGACAATATTAAATATTTCCTCGGTCAATAGGTTCTAAAGCCGTCTATATGGCGTACAAATTCTTTCTATATTTTTCTTTCTTTTGTACCCGCCGCAGAAGTGGTGCTACTCAATAGAAGAGCATACTTATGAATAGAGTAAGATCCTAGTTCGTTTTACTTGTGCTCGTCTATCAACATGGATGGTCACAACCCGTCCTTATTCCTTCGGAACAAAGAACAGTTGTTTTTTAAATCTGAATCGTATTTAGTAGCAAGCAAGTCCTCGGTTTTCTAATCGGGAGAGGAGAATTTTTGGAAAGTATGAACACATATGGTGTCTAAGACGCTACAAAAAAAAGATCTTATACGGTTAACAATATTTTGAAGCCTATCTAGGTTATACCTTGGGAACCAGGAAAAGACTTTAATGCACTAGTTGGCATACGTCATGAGAGGTGAATGCGCATGTTTAACCTTTAGAAGCAGATATTGATTTAGATTGCACAGTTTTCGGAGCGTAAGACAAACCAACCTTAGCAGAAACATTGTGGGGGGGCTATAGTTGAGTTTGTGATCATGATCAAGACCCCTTGAATCTACAAAATCAATGGAATGCCTAGATATTTTGATATTGAGCTTGGATAACTCAGCACATGGAGGATTGAAGAATAAGGCTTTAGTGTTAATGGAGTTAATGCAAAGTTAACAATTGGTAGAGACTCAAATGAATGCAAATTTTTTGCATTATCTCCATAAAGAGGAAAGATGTCATGTCCATACGCAAAAAAAGCGCAATCATTACCAATCAAATCCTAAAGATCATTTACCAAGAGTTACCAACTAATAGGAGGCGCAAAGAGAGACCTTGCGATACATCAGATGTAGTCTCAGTTAGGGTAGAGTAATTTGCCCAAAAAAGGTTTTAATAATAACAACTATTAAGCGGGGGCCGAATCTGGAATACCCACCACATAAATGCCTGGTCCACTTACAACTTCTAAATAACGAGCAAATACACACAAATTTTTGTTAAGAAAAACAGAGTTGCTTTCAGTTTACGCTCCACATTTGTTGAAATTCTGTTTGACTGATCGCGATTGACGACGGAATAAAAGATTATCTCGACTTTAAATTGACTGCGAAACTATGGTAGTTATGTAGCTTTTCGATCTTCAAATGATTGTCATCTTACACTTTTCTCTCTTCTTTTGAATAAGTGTTAATAATTTATTGTTTTGTTTCGCATAAGTTAAGCTTACTAAATCGTTCATCATCATATTTTGAGCCTAACTTTTTTAAAGGCCTTAATGAAAATCAAATAATTGATTCTCTGAAAGTCGAACCTCGTATTAGGGAAGAGTAATTTTGGTTCAAAAAAGAGTTAAACAATATCGTCTAGTAGTTACCCTGTGCTATAAAAGGTATTTAAAGAACTGCTAAACGGATAAATTTTCCATCATATATTTGCTAAAAGCAAGCAAGTCACCTTTTTCTGCTTTATTTGAAGAGATTCGGGGTCTGCGTCGGAATCGCAGTTCGTTAATCTTCTGAATGAATGAAAACATTTTTTTTAACCTCCTTCCGTATAATTGCAATTAAAAATCATTAAAACTTTTAAGAGAGCAAACACTTACATTCATTATTTTATATTGAAAATTAATTTAGAGGAACGATCTATCGGATATAAACTTATTGCGAACCACATCAGTCCATTTTTTCATGTCCTTTTCTTTTCAGATCATGTACGCGAAGGTTTACTTTGGTGGTGGATAAAATGAGTGCTCAGTCGATCAAGGCATAATATTAACCGAAGAGGCTGCGACCACAGTCTTCCTATTTCCATCCTTTTCCTGACTTCTTTGTGATTATTATCGTGTTGCACGAATAGGCGGCGTTCCCTTAGTAATTACTCAGCCAATTGGCTCTATTAAGAAAAACAATGGAATTTTAACTCTTCCTACGGCAATACAATTTATTCATTGGTATTTTATGATGGAAATAGGCGAAGAGCAGTTAGTTGTATGTGACAAAAAAGAAAAAAACTTTGATGCGGTCTTTAGACTCTCTCCCTTCTAGACCTGCGTCAGTTAAAATTTCTATTATTTGTTAAATACATGACTTTGAACTGCAACAGATATAGTGGAATTTAATTGTTAGCCTTGCTTGACGGCAAATT